AGTCAAAACTGCTGCCGATTTACTGGACTTACGCGATGCACCACGCCGTGCGGGTGCACAACTTACTGTCAACTACCGCCATCACCGGCAACCTGTCCCCGCATGTGAAGTGGACCGAGACCAAGGGGGACACGTCCATGCTCCGCGTGTGGGGGTGCATGGTCCAATACCGCCCGCCAACGTCAACCATCGGCAAATTCGCCAGCCGCGCACGTTGGGGCATTCACCTCGGCATCAGCCACGAGCACAAGGCGTGGATCGTGCTGGACCTGTTTAGTCAGAAGACCACCCACGCTCGCGACGTAATTTTCTACGAACGCCTCTTCCTCGACCAGTTCCGCCACGACGTGCAGACGAATGCAAAACGTGTTTATGCAAATGATTGGCACAGCTACGCAACGCCCGAGGACGAAGCTGCGGCAGCAATCCTGGAGCAGGACACCAGGGGCGAGTTCACACGGGGAGATCGCAGCAGCGACAATAATGACGACGACTCCTCCGGAGGAGGAATGGGCGGAGCAGGCGGAAGCGGCAGTGGTGCAGCACCACCTGCACCACCTGAACCAGAGAGCGATGACGACGATGTGTAGGAAGTCATCCCGCAACGTCGCCATGACAGCACCGTCTCAAGATTGCAGCTGCTCGGGCTTCACACCGCAACCTCGAAGGCGCCACGTGTCATCGAGCCGCGAAACTCGTGCCAAGCTCTCACTGGACCACATAGCAAAGAATGGCGTGACGCGATGGACGCGGAAATCAAGGCGCTCGAATCCCGGGACACCTGGGTGCTAGTCGACCGTGCGGCAATCAAAGAAGCAAGAGTTCTTTCGGGGAAATGGGTCTTCCGCGTGAAGACCGCAGCGGATGGAACAATCGAGCACTTCAAGGCGCATTGGGTGGTACGAGGATACGACCAGAGGCACGGCATCGACTTCGACCAGACGTTCGCCCCAGTCAGCCGCCACACCTCCGTCCGAATCCTGCTCGCCATCGCAGCAGCAAGGCATCTGCCTCTCCGCCAGATCGACGTGAAGAACGCATTCCTGTACGCGTTAGTAGACGCCGTGATTTACGTGGAGCAGCCGCACACATACGGCGAAGGAGATTCGCGCGTGTACCAGCTGCGCAAATCTCTGTACGGGATAAAACAGGCACCAAGGCTTTGGCAGCAGTATCTGCACAACATCTTGCTTGAAATCGGGTTCAAGCAGATGCCGCACGACCCAGGAATGTACCGCCGCAACTTCCGCGGCGAATACATTCTCCTCACAGTCTACGTCGACGACCTGCTTTACACGGGATCAAGCAACGAGTTACTCGAGCAGTTCGAGAAAAGCCTGGCAGGGCGCGTCGACATCACGTGCAACTAAGAGGTGAAGCAGTTCTTAGGCCTCAACGTCTCCTACGCACCTGAGGCCATTCACCTCTCAGTGGCTAAGTACGTAGAGGAGTTAGGGAAGCGGTTCAACATTTCACCTGCACCGCTCTCCACTCCCTACCGAACTCCGGGACCGAACCACAAACCTGACAACAAAGCCCTATCCCCTGCCGGAGTTCAGACTTACCAGCAACAACTGGGATGCCTGCTCTTTGCCTCTGTCACATGCAGGCCTGACCTTTCCTACATCGCAAGTCAGCTGGCCCAGTACTCACGCAAACCAACGGCTGAGAATCTTCTAGACCTGCAGCGCGCCCTACAGTTCTTCGTTTCAACGCCCAAGATTGGGTTGTGCTACTCAACTGCACTAACCCCATCCTTCAATCTCATCAGCTACGTGGACGCCGATCACGCAGCAGATCCCGACAATCGACGGTCGAGGACTGGCTTCCTGTTCCGACTCGAGCCAACGGGACCAATCTCCAGGAATTCACAGAAGCAGGAGCTGGTTGCCCTGTCGTCAGCCGAAGCGGAATTCATCGTAGCAACCGCAGCAGTTCGCGAAGGCCTCTACTTGCAGGAACTCCTGCAGGGGGCAAAAATTCCAGCTTCATCCACCTTTCGTCTCCACTGCGACAACCAGAGCGCGATTCGCATCGCGAACAAACCTGGTTTCGTCAACCGCACCAAGCACATTGCGCTGTGGTATTTCTTCGTGAAGGACAAAGTGGACAAAGGCAAGGTTAACTTGACCTACTGCCCGACTGGTGACATGGCAGCAGAATTTCTCACGAAGCGACTGCCACGCCAGCAGTATCAGCATTGCTCCGAACTCAGCGGAGTGGTCAAGCAGGTCAAGTCGAGCTGCGGCCAGGAGTGAAGGGGGGTGTTACGAATAGCAATGAATGAAGATTACAGTGCACTCCCGACCGCAGCTAAAGGTGCATGCAGTATCGAGAACGAATGTGAAGAGTCAGAATTGACTTGAAACGTCAGACGGTTGAGATGCATCTGGACCGTCTAAGCAGATGGCATCGGGCAGCTGCAGGCAGAAGGATTCTGGCGGGAACAGTTTCGTAACTGTACGCGCCGCACGGTTGGGAATGAATTTGAGTAAGGGAATGTACCCCTTAGAGCACATGGCTAGCTAGGTCGATTCGTATTCCCCTGTACTCTTATTTATATCGTTGTATATGCATGTTTTTATTATCTCAAGCATTTTACATTCACTCTGCTATAGAGGTCAAGGGCCCACCACCACTAGACTAGAAGTGTGCGAACCTTCCTGAGGTGATCCTGGTTACGATCTACTTCTGATCGCAACAACGTATAATTGGTATAGATTGGTTGTATGGCACCTTATATTAGTCAGTACACTATTTAATAAAGGGTGCTCTTGAACATGACCCCTTTGGCAGATCCTACATTGTACCACTGCGTATAACTGTTTGTGGAGTAGAGTGCAATACCAGTATACTGGTAGTAGGACTAGAAGGAGGTGTACAGAATTCCAACACCCCGCTCAAACAAGGCAGAGAGAGAGAGCGGGCTAGAAAACCGCCGGGGTGGGCAGGGGAGGAAGCATCGGAGGGGAAACACGGGCTTTATGAGGGTCGCCCGAGCTACGCCGACTTCTTCGGTTTGGCGGTGGAAACATATGGGGCCATGGCTCGGGGGACAGCGTTCATGGTTTCATCCATGTCGGCTCGACGACTCCAAGTCTGCAAGTCGGCATCGTAGGACGATGACGTCGTAGTCTTGTCGTTGACGGTCGCTTGTTGGAAGTCGCTCCCCGCGAAGGCTCTGATACCAAGTGTTAGGCCTGCTGGCCTAAATCCGCTAAGGATTAGCGGGATCGACTAAGTCGAGGATAAACGCGACGGAAGACTTTGGCGAAAGAGAGTGTTGGCGAAATAGGCGAAGAAGTAACTGAGTAATTAAAGAGTTGAATGACGATTGGTTGATATGAGGGAATACAAGCAAGGTTGATATAGCATGCAAGATCGAATGATGGAAAGTAATTCGTGGGACTAGAAAGTAGAAGTAAGAAAAGTAGAGTGCCACGTGGCACTAGGAAATCTGAAAAGATAAGGATAAGGATGGGGTTGGGAGTAATGTTCAAAGGGAACAGTAAACACCCCTCTAACACGCATGCTGGCCAACTATGCCGCCAAAACTAAATACAGGCAGGGGCGTCTCACAACCACCGCAGCCCGTCTCAACGCTCACTACAGGCAGAGGTGGTCCGTGACGCTCCAACGCAGCCAGGCTATTTCTCTCCTCTCAAAGTCAAACTGGGCAGCAGAAGCGGCATTCCCACAGGCCTCCACAGACCCATGGGTACCTCGGCTCGGTGATCTCTGGCAGACGTTAGAAGACGAGTACGAAGAGCGGCACGCCCCAGCAAGGGCAGCCTAGAGGGGCCGGGGGTGAGGAGAAGTGTGCTGGGAAGCGGGTAGGGAGTTGCAGGGTGGAAGACAAGGGTCTCAGGGGTAGGACCGGGACAGGAGGACTGTGGGATTTTCAGAGGCAAAGGTGGTCTCGGCAGCGGCGGTTGTGGGTGGCTGAGTCTTGTGGCTTTTGCTCCACTAGCCTTGCCCTGCTTGCTTCCTGGGTTGTTTGGTTGTTTGGTTGCTTGCATTGCTTGCATTGCTAGTTTAGCTACATCATTGCTTACATGCTTAGACAGCCTATTAGCCACTACATGCCATGCCTGTACCTTTGAGCCATATCAATACAGAACTGCTTAAGAGAGAGAGAGAGAGAGAGAGAGAGAGAGAGAGAGAGAGAGAGAGAGAGAGAGAGAGAGAGAGAGAGAGAGAGAGAGAGAGAGAGAGAGAGAGAGAGAGAATAGCACGGCCCACCACCTGAACTCCCTGACTCATTTCGCTGCACCCAGCGGTGGCCGAGCTCCTACCCCTCCTGGACTCTGCCCACGGCTCCACCCACGCCCTGCCAGCACGCCTCGCAGCTGCTGAAGCGGCCCTCCCCCCCGAGGCACTCGGGGCCCTCCAGGCAGGGAGAGTGGAGCCAAAGGGCCTGAAGCTGCAGCAGTCCCTGGCGCTGGCGGTTCACACCCGCCGCTTCCTGCGGGTGATGAACGAGGCGAGGCGGATGCGCCCCAATCCCCTCTCTGGCCACGCGCAGCGGATGCAATCAGTGCTGGGCCCGGGAGCAGGGGACTGGCTGCTGGCGATCCCCCTCATCCCCTCGCTCCGGATGGGCCCCTCGCAACTCTCTACTGCAGCCGCCTTCCGCCTAGGCCTCCCCCTCCCGGTGCCTAGGCACTGCAACTGCCGGTACCACGGGTAGAGAGCAAGGCGGAATGTCTGACAACTTTTAAGATGAATAAATAGTGCACTCAGCTATGCATGCACTCACAGCCGTGCTTGCACTCACAGCCATGCATGCACTCAGCCATGCATGCACTCACAGCCATGCATGCACTCAGCCATGCATGCACTCACAGCCGTGCTTGCACTCACAGCCATGCATGCACTCAGCCATGCATGCACTCACAGCCATGCATGCACTCACAGCCATGCATGCACTCACAGCCATGCATGCACTCACAGCCATGGATGGGTAGAGCACGAGGCGGAATTTCTGGCGCCCGTCACTCATGGTGGGCCCTAGAAGCACTGCCACCCAGCTGCAGAGGCATGGGCGGAGAGCGGTGGAGAGGGATGGGGAGGGGTGGGGAGTGGTGGAAAGGGGTGGAGAAGGGTGGAGAACGGTGACATTCATCTCTCTCCGGATTGGTTACATTCATCAACTTCCACCCTCCAAAACGGTTACATCCGTCTACTCACCCTCTCCTGTGCACCCACTGAATTCAGGACCAAATGCAACTCACATTCTCCGACACACCCATTGCGGGATAAAGGCTTTCACTAGCGGCGGCGCTGAGAGGGTCTGCTGGCGCACGTAGCCCTCGAACAACGCCACTCGGCTCTGATGGGGCAAGACGAGAGGAGGGAAGGGAGAAGAGGGCGACGAGGGAGGCAGCCAGGAGCTGAGTCCTAACGGCACCGAGAGGGTATGCTGGCGGCGCACGTAGCCGCTCGGCTCGGCACTGATGGGTGGAAAAAAGAGGGAGGGAAATTGTGGGGTGAGAGGATGTAGTGTAATGAGGGAGATAAGTGCAAGGAGAAGAGTGTCAACGACACAGAGAGGGTCTGCTGAGGGATTGCTGGCGCAAGCAACCTTTTCCTCCACACCTCCCGTTTCTCCCCCACATAGACAATGACAGTTTGTGACAGATGGCCATGTCCACCGTGGGGATGTAGCTCAGATGGTAGAGCTCTCGCTTAGCATGCGAGAGGTATGGGGATCCATACCCCACTTCTTCCAGGTGACATTTTCGTCTCTCTGCTCATGCCATCTACCCTTTGCTGAAGTATCAAGCTTTCGAACACACACTGACACATGCTACCTCCCCTCCCTTCCTTCTCCCCTACCATCACCTCACCTCTATGTGAGTCTAACGACAGCAAGCAAGCAATGAGCACCTCTATGAGTCTAACCACAGCAGGCAAGCAATGAGCACCTCTACGAGTCTAACCACAGCAGGCAAGCAATGAGCACCTCTATGAGTCTAACGACAGCAGGCAAGCAATGGGCACCTCTATAAGTCTAACCACAGCAGGCAAGCAATGAGCACCACTACGAGTCTAACCACAGCAGGAAAGCAATGAGCACCTCTACGAGTCTAACCACAGCAGGCAAGCAATGAGGACCACTACGAGTCTAACCACAGCAGTGTCGTTTCTCTCGCTTGCCAAAGTAGTCTTGCCCTTGTCTCACACACCCAGCCTTGTCTCACACACCCGGACACACTAAGGGCGCGATCTGGGATATTTTCACTTGGGAGAGCTCGAGGGCGTATTTCTACTCGAGGTTGTGTCGGAAGGTCGCGGAGGACGGGCTTGCGAGGCAGTTCATGCTGCAGGTGGACGGGCTGGGGAAGATTGATTTGATTTCAGAGGTGAAGTGGTGGTATTTGGACGAGCAACGGGTGAAGCGGGGGGAGAGTGAGGCGCTGCGGACGAGTGTGGCGATAGATGGGGATGAGTGGGTGGATGATAAGCAGTTCATGGCATGGGTGCAGGGCACGAGGAGGAATGCAGAGGGGTTCAGGAGGAGGGTGATGAGTCTGAGGGGGGGGAGGCTGGCGGCGGTGCTGACGAGGGAGAGGGACGCTGGGAGCATTGTGGACGGGCTGGCACAGGCTGTTGCCAGCGTGCTGCAGGCGCTACGTCGTTGCTTGCTGGCTGGCTGGCTTGCGAGGTTTCTGTTTCCTTCCTATTTCTATTTCTTATTCTATTTCTTTGCATGCCTTTCTAGCTATTGAATGTTTCCTTTCCTTTGCCTTCCAAATCCTTCCATGGCCTGATTCATGCTTTTCTCCTGTGTGTTCTTGTCATCGTTGTTCTTATCTTGTGTGGTGTCCATCCTACAGCTTCCTGCCAGTGCGCGCAAGGACGCTGCTCCCAAGCTCGCCCAAGTGCTGGAACAGCAGCAGTGGCACCCTCCTGCCCCTGCCTGGCCTTCTTGCCAATTTCTGGGCCAGCAGTGAGGCCATCCGTCTTCCCCTGCCCCTCACTGTGATTCTTGGCAGAGGTTATGGCAATCAGGGTGTGCCAGCACAGAGGCCTTGTGGCCCATGGGGTGTGCCAACCAGAAAGTGATGATTTGTTGCCTTCTAAGCCATAACTACTAGGTACCGTAGGTATCCCTCCTGCTCTAGCCCTTCCCCTCACCTCCACCCCCCCTGCCCCTTGGTCCGACCCCCTTTCCCAAATATTGTGTACTTGTACAAACCTGATATGAACATGGGCACTGGTGTACTGACGTGTGCACAGCTGTGGGGGGACAAGCCGTATGGAGGGGACAGTCCTTATCCTCGATATAAGCAGTCCCGTCTCCTTGTGGGTAGCCAATATGAATAGGTGATTGATAGCATAGCTGATGTATGTAGCAATACACAGTTTTTGTTAACTTTGGATCAACTGTATGTAATTCACCAGTTTGTGGACCTGTGATACTATTGCCGCAAGTTACGAACAACCTAGACACCTCCTCCGCACTCATCTCAGCAACAGCAGCCAGGGCATTTGCTCAAGGTCCAACCCCGTGGCATTTGCTCGAGGTCTATAAAGGCAACTGTGGCATTTGCTCCGTATTTGGTGGTCGCTCGGGTTTGAGGTGCGCCAGAGTGCTCGAGCGTGAACGGCACGAGAGGGTTGGAGTCATGTTATGCGGGGTACTTCTTCATTCTATCAAAGAGTGCCAGAAGGGTGGCACACGCCTGCCTACCTGTGTTTAGGCCTTGTAAACGAAAGCAAAGTACTAAATGTTTGTAATACATGGTAGTGGGTATTTGATAGTGAGCTCACCTATGAACGCAGTAATTGCTCCATTGCGTAATGCGCTGCTTTACGGCCCTAATACTAGATAAAGCAATCATACGAGACATGTTGAAGGGTTTTACACGCAATCGCGGTTAAAGCAATCTACTACTAAGCGAGCTGCCTGGAATCAAATTCAACGGGCCATTAGGGCGTATTCCTACGGCCTCCTATCAAGAAACCTCCTATCAAGATTGTGCCTTTTGCCTGGTAAAGTAGCGAGAGATTTCGGGTTTAGGGAATTTTCCAGTGAGAGCTTGATAGGAGGTTTTCTTGATAGGTGTTGAATCAGAAAGTTTTCTTGGTTAAGTTACAACATATGGACTTCTAGTCTAGTGGAATACCGTACAACAAATCTAGTCTAGGGCACATTTCGAAAGGGCATCTAACAGATACTCACTCGTGGCATAACAACCCCTTCACTTCTTTCCTCCCTTGCCACCCTTCCCCCCTTTTCCGCCCTTGCCGCCCTTCCCCCCCTTGCCGCCCTTCCCCCCCTGTCCCCCCTTGCCACCCTTGGCATTACTCTTTGAGCCCGAATTGCTACCTGCAAGCTGAGGATTAGCGGTCCCACCAGATCCACTCTGCTCTCCGCCAGCACCCCCCTGCTCCCCGCCTGAACCCCCCTGCTCCCCGCCAGCACCCCCCTGCTCCCCGCCAGCACCCCCCTGCTCCCCGCCAGCACCCCCCTGCTCCCCGCCAGCACCCCCCTGCTCCCCGCCAGCACCCCCCTGCTCCCCGCCAGCACCCCCCTGCTCCCCGCCAGCACCCCCCTGCTCCCCACCAGCACCCCCCTGCTCCCCACCAGCACCCCCCTGCTCCCCACCAGCACCCCCCTGCTCTCCGCCAGCATCCCCCTGCTCACCGCCAGCACCCCCCTGCTCTCCGCCAGCACCGCCCTGCTTCCCGCCAGATCCGCTCTTTCCGCCGGGACCACTTTTCCCGCCAGATCCATCCTTTCCCCCCTTACCCCCCTTACCCCCCTTTCCGCCCTTCCCTCCCTTTCCGCCCTTTCCGGCCTTTCCGCCTCCACTTTTTCCGCCAGGTCCACCCTGCTCCCCACCAGGTCCGTCCTGCTCGCCGCCAGATCCCCCCTGCTCGCCGCCAGATCCCCCCTGCTCGCCGCCAGGTCCCCCCTGCTCGCCGCCAGATCCCCCCTGCTCGCCGCCAGGACCGCCCTGCTCTCCGCCAGGTCCCCCCTCCTCGCCGCCAGGACCATCCTGCTCTCCGCCAGGACCCTCCTGCTTCCCGCCAGGACCCCCCTGCTTCCCGCCAGGACCCCCCTGCTTCCCGCCAGGACCCCCCTGCTTCCCGCCAGGACCCCCCTGCTTCTCGCCAGGTCCGTCCTGCTTCCCGCCAGGTCCGCCCTGCTTCCCGCCAGGTCCGCCCTGCTTCCCGCCAGCTCCGCCCTGCTTCCCGCCAGCTCCGCCCTGCTTCCCGCCAGCTCCGCCCTGCTTCCCGCCAGCTCCGCCCTGCTTCCCGCCAGCTCCGCCCTGCTTCCCGCCAGCTCCGCCCTGCTTCCCGCCACATCGCAAAACAGGGGGGAGGGGATTGTGACATGCGCGAATCTTGTTTGCATCTTCCTCGTCTTTCAGGGGTTGGGAATCATGCGAGAATGTTGCTCGCATGATTCGTGGGAGTGTTGTTAGGGTGTTGCGTGTTTTTCGAAGTGGTGCGCGTGTTTCTGGGCACTTGAAGTCAACTCCGCAGGCCCAGCTGGATGGTTTCGTGGTAACAAACTGTTCATCGCGCTTTTCATATTTCATGAAGTTGTAACAAACAGTGCTATTAAACTTAAATTGGTAATGTTACATTTTTTTGTCAACCCGCATGGTATTATAATTCGGTGGATATTGAGATATTCGTGAAACAAATATCTTGCCAATGCTAGTGTGAACATTGCCAATATCTTGCCAATGCTTTTTATGCAAACTTTTATTATATTATTAACTATTTGACACGTTTTCTAAAATTATTAAATGTTTGGTCGTAGTCGATGTATCATCATTCTTGTATATAATTGTGTTTTTAGCATTTTATAATCACACAATAGGTTACTTCGGTCTACGCAGCTCGTGACGCTTGTTCGTGCATTGGATGCTTGGTATCCGTGCGAGGATGGGCTGTGCGCAACATGTCACCGTTTCTTCGTCTGGTTGATGGTTCCACCCCCGTTTCTTCACACTGTTATCTAGAAGGACCTATTACAAGGCCAAAGGAAGTTGTTTCGCATCGTTCGCCCAACTACGCAGCTCGTGACGCTTGTTTGTGCGTACGATGCCATGGAACTGTGCAAAGACAGGCCCGTGCGCCACATGTCACCGTTTCACCGTCTGGATGATGGTTCCACCCCCGTTTCTTTGCACTGTTCCCTAGTAGGACCAATTACCAAGCCATAGGAACTTGTTTGACCTCGTTCGCCCAACTACGCAGCTCGTGACGCTTGTTTGTGCGTACGATGCCAGGGAACTGTGCAAAGACAGGCCCGTGCGCAACATGTCACCGTTTCGTCGTCTGGTTGATGGTTCCACCCCCGTTTCTTCACACTGTTCCCTAGAAGGACCTAATACAGGGCCAAAGGAAGTTGTTTCGCATCATTCGCCCAACTACGCAGCTCGTGACGCTTGTTTGTGCGTACGATGCCAGGGAACTGTGCAAAGACAGGCCCGTGCGCCACATGTCACCGTTTCACCGTCTGGATGATGGTTCCACCCCCGTTTCTTCACACTGTTTCCTAGAAGGACCTATTACAAGGTCAAAGGAAGTTGTTTCGCATCGTTCGCCCAACTACGCAGCTCGTGACGCTTGTTTGTGCGTACGATGCCAGGGAACTGTGCAAAGACAGGCCCGTGCGCCACATGTCACCGTTTCACCGTCTGGGTGATGGTTCCACCCCCGTTTCTTTGCACTGTTCCCTAGTAGGACCAATTACCAAGCCATAGGAACTCTTTTGACCTCGTTCGCCCAACTACGCAGCTCGTGACGCTTGTTTGTGCGTACGATGCCAGAGAACTGTGCAAAGACAGGCCCGTGCGCAACATGTCACCGTTTCGTCGTCTGGTTGATGGTTCCACCCCCGTTTCTTCAAAATGTTCCCTAGAAGGACCTAATACAGGGCCAAAGGAAGTTGTTTCGCATCGTTCGCCCAACTACGCAGCTCGTGACGCTTGTTTGTGCGTACGATGCCAGGGAACTGTGCAAAAACAAGCCCGTGCGCCACATGTCACCGTTTCACCGTCTGGGTGATGGTTCCACCCCCGTTTCTTTGCACTGTTCCTTAGTAGGACCAATTACCAAGCCATAGGAACTTGTTTGAGTTCATTCGCACAACTACGCAGCACGTGACGCTAGTTTGTGTGTTTGATGGCCTGGAACTGTGCAAGGATAGGCCAGTACGCAACATGTCACCGTTTTGTCGTCTGGTTGATGGTTCCACCTCCGTTTCTTCACAGTGTTCCCTAGAAGGACCTATTACAAGGCCAAAGGAAGTTGTTTCGCATCGTTCGCCCAACTACGTAGCTCGTGACGCTTGTTTGTGCGTACGATGCCAGGGAACTGTACAAAGACAAGCCCGTGCTCAACATGTCACCGTTTCACCGTCTGGATGATGGTTCCACCCCCGTTTCTTTGCATTGTTCCCTATTAGGAACAATTACCAAGCCATAGGAACTTGTTTGAGTTCATTCGCACAACTACGCAGCACGTGACGCTTGTTTGTGCGTTTGATGGCCTGGAACTGTGCAAGGATAGGCCAGTACGCAACATGTCACCGTTTCGTCGTCTGGTTGATGGTTCCACCCCCGTTTCTTCACACTGTTTCCTAAAAGGACCTATTACAAGGCCAAAGGAAGTTGTTTCGCATCGTTCGACCAGCTACGCAGCTCGTGACGCTTGTTTGTGCGTACGATGCCAGGGAACTGTGCAAAGACAGGCCCGTGCGCCACATGTCACCGTTTCACCGTCTGGGTGATGGTTCCACCCCCATTTCTTCACACTGTTCCCTAGTTTATCCATTTCCCTAGCCACAGGAACTGGTTTGAGTTCATTCGCACAACTACGCAGCACGTGACGCTTGTTTGCACGTTTGATGGCCTGAATCTGTGCAAGGATAGGCCAGTACGCAACATGCTACCGTTTCGTCGCCTATATGTTGTTTTTAGCCCTATTTCTTCACATAGTTCCCTAGGTTATCCATTTCCCTAGCCACAGGAACTGGTTTGAGTTCATTCGCACAACTACGCAGCACGTGACGCTTGTTTGCACGTTTGATGGCCGGAATCTGTGCAAGGATAGGCCAGTACGCAACATGTCACTGTTTCATCGTCTATATGTTGTTTTTAGCACTATTTCTTCACACATTTCCCTAGTTTATCCATTTCACTAGCCATAGGAACTGGTTTGAGTTCATTCGCACAACTACACAGCACGTGACGCTTGTTTGTCGTAAAAACATGCAATTTCGTCGAAATATCATGCACGGTAGTGAAACAACCAAACATATGGATGAAGACTGCCACCATAGTAGGTCATAGACGCAGCACATAGTTCTGAACCCCAAATTAACATCCTTGAAATTAACACATGTTAATGATAGCCAGAGAATGAGTTGTCAAGTGCTAGGAGCTTTGTTGGTATAGCTTGATATGTTGGTTTCACCGAATTTCACCAAAAAAACTTTCCATTCCAGAACAGTAGAGGAGGTCCAAGAGAAACGGTAGAGCCATCAAAATGATGTTTTGGACCACACACCAAGTGGTTACCACCCTTGAAAGGTATTGAATAGGCGGGCATTTGGAGCCACAAACCACTCTTAAAAGTGTTGTTTTGCAAAGTTTTCGATTGTAGTATGGTAAAGGATACATAAATAAATAATGAGCATTAAAAAAACACCGTAAAAAAAAATCCCAACACTTAGCCAATTCTGTGGCTTTCAATATGGAATGTCTGTGAGACACCTTCTGAAATGTAATCTGTATGTAAGCACACAATATTGTACATCTTGACTCTTCTGCTTGTTACTGACGAGATATCCACGCGACCCTCCTCTGGGTAGCTGAAATGTTGTAAGGCTACACTTGACAGCTGTCGCGGCAATTTCCTTTGCAACCAATCCTTGCTCACGCTTTTGCCACCGCAGCTGGTGCACATCCTTCTTTGACGATATGAGAGGTGGCGGCGGGTGAGCCATCGAGGCGACGAATCACAACCGTTGTCACCTTGCAAGCTTCGCAATTTGAAGCTTGCCTGGTGAACCAGCACAGCAGCGAAGTTGCCCTGCTCACCACCCCGCTAGAGCACCAAGGCTCTTGCTTATCTGAGTTCGAGTCAAGAAAACTTCAGCCCTCACTCCCAATAACTCGCCATTTCCACTTCTGCGGCCTTTTTTCTGCTTTGACAAGCGTCAGCGCTGCGGTGCCAGTCGTAGCAGCCCTATGCCTCCCGCGCCCCATCCGCTCGTCGAGTTTCCGCCAGTCAGCGCTCCCAGAATTCCGCCACCGATCCCGCCGCCCTTTCCGCTTCCGCCCTTCCTGTTGTCTCTTCCGCCGCCGTTTCCCTTGCCGCCTTCCTTTCGGTTTCTGCCCTTCCCCTTGCCGTTACCAGGATACTCTCTGGTGCATATTCATTGTTTTGCGTTCGCTTTTTGTGTATGTTCAGCACTTGTGCGTCTTACTCAAATGCATTCACCACTAAAATGTTTCCCTTGTTGTCGCGCAGTTCTGCACGGTGTTATACTGATTTTCCAACCTACATAATGCGCCCGCGCGACGTAATGTTTTCTCGCTTTGCTTGTGTTCTGTCTCTCTTTACTGCGCAGGAATCGTATGACAAGAGTCTTCATAGGCTTCTCAACCCGTGGTGAGGCTGTTTTCTTCTAACTGTGTTCTTTTTGAAGGTTGCGGAATTCCCGGCGATCCGCACGGCAGGTGGTTGTCGCTCTGTGTGTTTGCTATTAGTGAGTTTTGACCGGAGTCTTGCTAATATGCATGATCGTGGACGTACCTGTTTTAGGTCGCAATAGTGATGTAATGCTGGTTTTCTGCTCGTTGAGTTGACGTCAATTATTTAAAATTTGGATTTATCGTGCCGTGTATGTCCAAATTGCTGTATTGGTCGTGGTGCAGGTTCTATTTAATGCTGCTGTTGCTAAATTCGTAATTGAAACTGGCCCAGTTTACGTCCCCAGGACAATTATTAGTTTGTACGGATTGCTGTAATGAAGAAATAAATAAATTGTTCGAACTCTTGGTAACCACGGTGACTAATGTTAATACGGTTACAAATGTAACATAATAAATGGAAAACTGTAACAACCATTCGGTAACCACAAAGCTACAGTACCGCCGCCTCGGCCGCGAAACGATCCGTTGTAAGCTAGCTTGAGTTTATGTACGAAAACAATGATTCACCATTTCAATTCTCAAACTGTTTCGTAGGCTTATATTAGAAAAATGTAGAGTCACTTGATTGCGAACAGTCCCGCTTCGATTTATTCACAAATGTTTTGCATCAACCCGAAACTCTTAACCCGGAAAAAAAGAGTACCGAACCCTTTTCCGCAATTGGCTTTGTACAGTACTTGCGCGCTTTGGGAAATGGCGAGTTCGATTGTGGAGCGAAACCTGGGGTTGGGAATGATGCCGCATGGGATGTTGAAATCAACCTGCAGGTGACACGCTGTAAGTGTGTATTGCAACACGCCAGTCCCAGGCATCGCGAAAACTTCCCCAGCGATGCCTATCAAACATCAAGCCACTGGATGGCATGCTGTTTGACACACAGGTATAGGTTCCGATGCAGGTCCGCCCAGCTTCCCGCCAGATCCGCCCTGCTCGCCGCCAGGACCACCCTGCTCGCCGCCAGGACCGCCCTGCTCGCCGCCAGGACCGCCCTGCTCGCCGCCAGGACCGCCCTGCTCGCCGCCAGGACCGCCCTGCTCAAAATCTCCGCCACCCAAGTCTCCGCCATCACTGCCGCCCAAGCCTCCGCCTTCGCCGCCGCCCAAGTCTCCGCCATCGCCGCCGTCCAAGTCTCCGCCTTCGCCGCCGCCCAAGTTTCCGCCTCCGCCGCCGCCCAAGTCTCCGCCTCCGCCGCCGCCCAAGTCTCCGCCTTCGCCGCCGCCCAAGTATCCGCCTCCGCCGCCGCCCAAGTCTCCGCCTCCGCCGCCGCCCAAGTCTCCGCCTTCGCCGCCGCCCAAGTCTCCGCCTTCGCCGCCGCCCAAGTCTCCGCCGTCGCCGCCGCCCAAGTCTCCGCCAATGTCGCTGCCCAAATCTCCGCCAATGTCGCCGCCCAGATCTCCGCCACTGCTGCCGCCCAAATCAACTTCATTGCCGTCGCCCAAATCAGCAGTTATCAAAACTGGTCTGATTGCTGTTGCCTTTAGAAGTGATTGGGCTTTAAGAGCAAGACTGCGGCGCGGAGCGAGGGACCTCGCGGATCCTGCTCCGATGGACAAGACACGTTCATATATCGTAAATGTCGATTTGGATAGAATTCACGATAAGGGCGCAAGTTAAAATGGAGTTGAAAAAACGAATTGGCCTTATATGAAATGGAGGAAAACCGAAATGGAAATGACTGTGATTAGAGGACAGGAGAGTGTGCACCAAAGTGAGACACTCACCCGGCGTTACGAACCCCGGCGCCGCTAAAAGCGCGAGTAGAAGAAGAGCCAACGCCGTGACTCGAATTATGCAGCCCATCGTGCAGGAACGATTCTCGCCGCTACTGGACACGTGCTAGGCAGGGACGAGCTCAAGAACAGTGGAAATGTGCGAGTGGCAAGAGCTCAAATTGCGAGAAGCTCGAGTGAGAGTACTGGGGAGGATGCTGATGTGAGTGACGAGTGCATGTTTTTATATGTGGAGGTGGGGGGGAGGGGACGCGGCTCGAAAGCGTTTTCGTCTTGGGGGTGTAAAAGGATGTGATTAGTTTTGGCTGGACAATCAGTTCCCGCCAGATCAAATCCGCGACTTGCGCCTCTAGCTCAGGTTTCGCAGGCACATTTCACGACAGGGAGATTGGACTACTATGTGTTTTTGCGAAGTAATACAAACCCAACCTGCGACGCCAAGATGTCTCGCAAATACGCTTCCGACTGTTACGCCGTGCTGCTTGGTCACGCACACCACAGTGGGCCCACACCTGCGCAATTGTCGAAGTTCGTTGGCCGCTTCTCTGGTCGAAATCTGGGCGTTTGGAAATCGTTTGACGCGGCAGGCCGCGGCTTGCGCTAGTGCCACAACATGCCATGAACTTGAAACGAGTATACTCCAGCTATAAACCAGCACATCAAAAAAATTGGGTATCTTATGATACTGTAAGGAAAATCCCTTTTCCTTACTTCGCATCCCTGCTCAACGCGTACATCACTGTAGCACCTCAGTCAGCACCGTTACCACTCGCAATCCTCGCATCGAAAATCATCCCGCCATCTTCGCACATCGCACCCCGACCTTACGGCTCGGCTGGTAACCTGCGCTCCGGGCCTCCGCTTCGACACTTTCCAAACCTCAGTCCCAGGCAGGGGTTTTTTTTCGTTTTAGAGTACACTGGTTTCCAGAGGCGTTTTTGGCTGTACTCTGAAATTCAGAGTGTTTGGCGAGCCTTCCTCTTAAATGTCAGTGTAACACAGGCTTTCCGTTTAAAAACCCTGGCACCTCAGAATACTTTTTTCGTTTACCCTGTTGTGTGTGTACGCGTTTGTTTTTGTGCTGTTGCATAGTTAAAAATGTTACAAGTATAATTCTTACACACGATGTACACAATGTCCTATCCTATCCTACTACTACCGCTCAATCAAACTCTGCCACGTCAGCCTCTTCCTCGTCGTCCGCACTGGACTCAGGCTTCTTCCTGTCAGCCGCTGGTTGGAAGGGTGCTGGGGATTTTGTCGGCCGCCTCTTCTTGTGCTTGCGCCAGATGTCCACGACATCTGGCCACTCCACGTTGTAGTCGAGCATGTGGATGCTCATGAGTTCAGTGAGCCGCGTGTCGTTGAGAGTCGTGCGCTGCCAGCTCTTGATGATGTTCTGGCGTGAAAATCCACGCTCGCATTCGACAGTGCTGAGTGGCAGGACGGCCAACGCCTGCCACAGGGTCATGATGTTGGGGTAACTTCGCGGCCAATCGCGTGACCTCAGCATGTTCGTCAGCGCCTGGTAAAAGTCCTCGTCCTCGTGGTGCGTCTTCATGATGTGGCAGAAAGTTTTCAGTTCTAGTTCGGCTGCCCGCAGGTCGAATCCTGCCAACACAGTACGAACAGCAGAGGCATTTCTTTGAACGGGAACTTTCGTTAGACATTTACGACAGGCATTTTAGGAAAAAAAAAACAAAAAAGATCGAAATTTGATGTCCAAATACCTGGCAGCTGGTGGCTGAAGAGTTGTGAGTTCTCACGGAGCCATGTGGCACATCGTCTCGCACGCGTGTCCGGATTCGATGGCCACTTGTCCACCCTGAACAGTTTCATGCCGCCCATTCGACGAAGATCTCGCATGCGGTGCTTCAGGTTGTACACTACCTCACGGGCGAACGCCTTGCCCATCTTCACGCAATCTGCCAGGGACCCGCCGAACTTGTGCTTTTTGTCCGGCAACTCGTTGAGCTCGAAGGTGTGCCTAACGGGTCGGCCGCTAGCGTCCACACCGTCCACCTTCACCTTGTTGTCCCCGTTCTTGAGACGTGCCATGAATGGAGACAAGTGGGTGCTCAGACCCGCCCCGAAAGCACCCTCGTAGTCGATGTAGCGGTGCTCGATGAGGGAGACCACACGGTCGACCTCCTCTGTGACTTGCGTCACCTCCACCTGCCGGGTCGACACGGGGTATTTTTTTTTGTTAGTCTCTGCGTTAAAAATAATAATGAACACGGTTAAACGTGTGTATCAACAAGCCTTTTTGGCCTCATTTACCTTGCGTCGTTGGAAGAAACGATTCAGGGAGTTTAACTCCCCCAAAATGTCTGCCAGGAAGTACAGACAAAAATGAAATTTCAGGGTCTTCACAACCGCGGCGATCTTGTGATTGTACTCCAGGAAAAGCACGATTGCCGACCCCAGAATTTTGACAAGACGGTTGACAGCGTCAGCACGGGAGAGCCAGCGCACGTCGAACAGTCCCTGATGCTCGAGGTTGGTGCTGTGGATCACGAGTTGGAGCTCTTTGAACCTCTCGTACCATGGCGTGGATCTCCCCACGATCTCGCCAACTGCACGGATGGCCTTGTCTACCATCCCAAAGTCTTTGAACCGCTCGTCACCGGCAGTCTCCTTCACAGCAAGTGCTTCACTGCACGCAAAACTTAAAAACAATGAATAAGATCGTTTCATGAATAAGTTGGAAACACAAAATAACGTTTAACCAGACACTCTATTTCGCAGGCAAAACACACGTACCGATGCGCAATGCAGTGGCAGCCGACAAGGTGGGGAACGTGGACTCGCAGTCGTGTGACGAGGCCGGACGTGCCCCCGATCATCACTGCCGCGCCGGCCGTGGACATTCCTGAAATCTTCTGCAAGTCGATGCCCACCGTCTCGAGATGCTGGAGTAGTGCGTTCATGAGCGATGCCGCATCACACTGCTGTACGGTAAGTAACACGAGGAACTCGGTTACAACCACACTGTTCTTGAGGAACGTGACAAACACAATCATGTGTTTGCCACGGGCTCGATCGGTACTCTCGTCGCACATGATGCCGATGAAGGGCGAGGCGTGGAGGTGGCGCAATTGTTCTCTGGTCAGATACACGGTGAGAGCCCTGGCCATCTCGGAGAAACCGTACCTGCGCAGACATATAGCACAACGCATTAGCATACATAAACATAACCGGCTGCTTCAAGAACAACAGAGACAACGACTCACTGTGTGATGTACACTCCATAGCTCTGTCGCGGTATGTTGGCGACCCCCTCCTCTGCGAGAAGCTGCACGATCTGTGGGTACATGTGGATGGGTGTATCGGTACGGCACACAAATCGCATGGCTCGCATTAGTACCGCGACACGACAGGCTTCTGGATCTCCCTTCGCGAAGTCTTCAATTTTCTTCTGGTCGGCTATTTTCTGCAGAAGGTTCGCCTGCTTGTTCATCGCGTCCTCGTGCTTCGCGCTGTTCTCGTGCCACCGCATCGACCCGATCTGCAGATCACGACCGCCAGCGCCATTGCGACCGTAACGCGCGTTGTCCTTCCCGTGCTCGGTGCAGACACTGCAGCGCAGACACGGGTCACCCTCAGGGGTCCTGTCCAGAATCAGCCAGTCAAACTTCGGTAGCCAATCAGACGTGTAGCTCTTCTGCGCCTTCCGGTAGGCCTTCTCCTTCTTCTCCTCGTCTGAAAGGGGACGAATGGGGGGTGGGGTAGGACGGGGAGGTGGAGCGACAGGCTTCGGCGGCGGTGTTCCCCACTGTAAAACCTGCTGCGTTAATCGTCGCTTCTTTGCAGCGACTGAACCAGTCGACTCAGTAGTGGCCGCATCGACAAGCTCCGTTGCAACCGTTGCAGCTGGCTCTGCAGCAACCTCGTTTCGCGGCGAGGCGATCCACTCCTCAACACCGTCTGACTCAGCAGCGTCATTCATCGGGCGCGGAGATTGACACCAATCGTCGTTCGCATCTACCATGTCGCCAGATTCGTTGCGTGTACGTCGCATCCATTCGGTACCGCCATCGCCCAGCGCCTCTTCATCGCGAACGTAATCCTCACGCACAGAGCGTAGGAACTGAAGCCTAGTCGCAGGGGGTGTGCTACATGTCGGCCTGTCGTCGGGATCAGCCGCGTCTCCATCAGCGTCGCTAGTATCCATGGTAATGACGGCACAAAAAAGGTGCAGGAGGAGGGGCTGTGGCTGGAGAAGCCCACTACACACTCGCTATACTGAAACGTTGAAGAGTAGTGCAGTGGGAAGAAACAGAATGGGAGGTCAGGATGGGGTTTGGTGGTGACCCCGTCTGTCAGCCGAGCAACATGTGTGATCGTGCGGGCCGCGCACGAAACCATCGCACCAAAGGAAGCTGCCGTATCATGCCCGAAAGTAGGAGTTGTTCATTGCTGACGGGGTACGCAAAGCCAGCGATGTATCTGGTGGGTGGCCAAATGCGTGCGCTGGCACGAAATATGCTATACCGGCCAATCAGAACCTCAGGTAGTGCCAACACACGAGCGAACCAAGGCTGATATCCCCTGCGCTCCGGTCAAAACCGGCAACGAGGGGATAAGGGGGAACGTGGGGGTTCCGGGGTACATGTATCCCCTGTACAGAGTAATCTCACTATCCGGGAAAGTAACACAGGCACTCTAGAGTGAACTTAGACAAAAACCCTGACTGATCAGAGAACAAGTAACTCTAAAAAAATTTACCCAGGAGGTACAGAGTGACCCCCCAAAAACCACTCTGATTTTCAGAGAAACAGAGTAAATTACACTGATAAAAAAACCCCTGGTCCCAGGCTCGTCGCATGACAACCACAGTCCATTACCGTTACCACTGTAGTTTCGCTATATATTCTTCGCTCATGCCTTCGCTCATTGTATTCTTGCTTCGATAGTTCAATTCTCGTTCGTTCACTCCATTGCACTCGTAACACTTGGTATTCAGAGCCTACGATCTCATCTCGGACCGCATCCACACTTTCGCTTCCCCACTATCTCAATTTTTTGGGGGGGGGGGTAGACGTCTCTCAGCGATACAGCACCGCCGCT